AGTCTCACTGTCACCTGTGTGTCCCCACTGTGGTTGGAGGTCGAATTTTACTATCCCTTGGCATGCTGCGGTGGTCTGTTAGTACTGTTTTTAAAAAGTCAGAGAAACGGTGTGCCTGTGTGTGTAGTGGTCAAACACAAACCTGAGTGTGTGCTTTAAGAGCAAGGACCAGTGGGCTTTCGGAACCAGCTGCCTCTCTTGTTGGTTGGCATCTAGGGTGTGGAAGGAGCTAACAGCCATTTTTGGAGCCTTCTTGGGAAAGTTATCTTCTTTAAAAAAAAAAAGCTATTTAGATATCTAATTATGTTTTTGAGACTCTATCCAGCAAAGATGCACCAACGCCACCGTTTCTACCTGCCCTGTTCCGTGACTCTGGTGACATCTTTGGAGGCGAGCAACCACTCTCACCTATGTTTCTGAGCTGTTCTTCCCCAGAGGGTCTTATCCCGTTTTGAGAGGTGCTGTTGCCAGATAGTTCTGAAAAGGGGAGCACAATGCTCAAGGCAGACATTGTCTATCTGGTCAACTAAATTACTGTAGTTTTTAAGAAGGCTTTAGGGACATTTTTGGCTTCAGGTTTCAAGATTACCTCGGGGCAATGATGATGGGAGGTCCATCTCACCTTTATGGCTCTAGGAAGTCTGTAGCCTGTGAGAATTTTAAATTCTGTTCTATACTCCTCATCCCTGGTCAGGATTCTTCTGTAGAATCTTGGGTAAGACATCTGTTCACCTACGATAGGTGCTTCCTCTCATCTCATGGTTGTTCATGAAGGGAAAGCCTGTTCTCAAGAGGGATTAAGTAGTTCTGGAATAAGAGGCAGCTCTGAAAGGCCCAATGGCAGAAGGATTGTCCCAAGCTCTGGATACCATGCACAAGGATACACGTTTACCGGGGATAATTAGGAGAAAAGTCGGCTTCTATCCTCGGCGGCTGAGGTGATGCATCAGCATTTTTATTTGACCCGGGAGCTCCCGCCACCCTCTCCTTGTCCCTTCTCCTGCTGCCGTTCAGAACAACATGGCCAGAGGACAGAGAATGTGGCGAATCTCTTGAGTGACAGATTCACTCTGATTTGGGATGGAGTTGATTGTCCTTTAGTCCTCAATGGGCCTCACGGGCCAGTTGTGAAGGCCAGGGAAGAGAAGTGTGGTGTGGCTTCTTCCTGATCACAGTTAACACAGCTGGCCCAGCAGGGGACATCCATGGGGCGGGTGGTGGGGGGGAGGGCTCGGCCCAGCTGGCCCATGCAGGTGAAGGCACAGAATACCGCCAGCTTGTCAGGGGTCCGGCATTGGGACCCCTTCGCTCATGTTGCTTTTCTCTGTGTGCCCCTTTGAGATCCCATCGGGCCTCTTCATTCCCAGCATGGCAGTGGGGGCGATGGCTGGCAGGATGGTGGGCATTGGTGTGGAGCAGCTGGCTTACCACCACCACGACTGGATCATCTTCCGGAATTGGTGCCGGCCTGGAGCAGACTGCGTCACCCCAGGGCTCTATGCAATGGTGGGAGCTGCCGCCTGCCTAGGTAACCCCAGCTGGGGTGTGGGAGGGGCACAGAGACAGCTGACAGAGCAGCTGCCGAGACTGGGCCGGATGAGAGGGCAGGCAAGGGCACCTGCACGTGATGCTGGTGGGGCCAGCTCAGCTCATGCTGAGTCACAGCTGGGGTACAGGGTATGCCACTGAGATGCAGTGGGTGCAGGCCACCAGCTGCTATGAAACATTCCACAGTATACAGGATAACCCCGCCTCCCCCAAAGCAACACCCCGCCCCAGCGAATGATTGGGCCCCCAAGGTCTCTAGTGGCCAGGCTGAGAAGCCCTGCTTTAACTGAACTAGAAGCCGGAGTTGGTACCGATTCTCTTCTTCCCTGGCAACAGGTGAGGCCATCAGTTCCCTCTTACAGCCTCCAGCTGCTCTACTTGGCGGCTATGGGCATCTGAAGAAGGAGAGCCCCCTGTGCAGAGCTGGAGACCACCCCCTCCGCCCAGGGAAGAGCACTGAGCGGGGCCTGAGGGAATCAAAACTCGGGATACCTCAGGGTCACCAAGTCAGACGTTGGAGGTTCAAACCCATCCCGTGGCAACCATGAAAGAAAGCTCCCCTGGGACAGTTCTACTCTGTCCCACATGGGCGTGCCACGGGGCAGTCTTGGGAGCAGGAGCTGTGGAGACTGAGGGGCCAGGGGATTCCCTGCACATTAGCTCCAAAGAGAGGCCTGCCTGTCACCCACCCGGCCCTCTGTGACGTGTAGCCTTCCACAAGCCCGGCGATCCACTGCTGAAGTCAGGGCCTTTCCTCCTCTGTCCCATTGCAGGTGGAGTCACCAGGATGACAGTGTCCCTGGTGGTCATCATGTTTGAATTGACGGGGGGCCTCGAATACATCGTGCCCCTGATGGCGGCTGCCGTGACGAGCAAGTGGGTGGCCGATGCCTTTGGGAAAGAAGGCATCTACGAGGCCCACATCCACCTCAATGGGTACCCATTTCTGGATGTAAAGGACGAGTTCACGCACCGCACACTCGCCACTGACGTCATGCGGCCCCGGCGCGGGGAGCCGCCGCTGTCCGTGCTCACCCAGGACAGCATGACCGTGGAGGACGTGGAGACGCTCATCAAGGAGACTGACTACAATGGCTTCCCGGTGGTGGTCTCCAGGGACTCCGAGCGCCTCATTGGGTTTGCCCAGAGGAGGGAGCTGATCCTCGCCATAAGTGAGTAACGAGGGGATGGCCTTGGTGCCCCCCAGTTCTCCCAAGCCGTGATGTTGTTGTTGGCAGGTGCTGCTGTGCCAGAGAGCAAATCCCTGCCTTGTCCTGCGCTGTCCTCACAATCGTCATGGTAGTTGAGCATATATGGTTGCAGCTGGGAATGATCAGCGGCCTTGAAAACCAGGCCTCTTGAGCATTAGGGGCTGTTTGGTTCTCCGGTAGGGCTGGGGGACATGCAGGTTCTGAGTCAGGAGGCCAGGCTAGGGCCCGAAACTCCGCGTTTCTCATGAACATTCTTGGCTGGGAAAATGGCTGCCATATTGGCAAGCACAACCCCGAGACTCCCCGCTCCCTCATGAGGAGGCTCCCGCCACTGCTTTCCAGCCTAACCCACCTCCAGAGAGGGGGAGGCTGGGCCTGGGAGTCCTCCGTCCACCTGCCTGAACCTTTCTCTCTACTACTTCCGCCGGGCAGAGGCCCTTCTATGGTCAGGAGCAGATGTTGTCCCTGGAGGTCAGTTGGTCTGTCGTCACTGGGAGAGATGGTTTTTCTCCTCAGAGTCCACATGAATTCAGCTGTCGTGAGTGGCAGGCATCACAGGGGGCTGTGAGAAGCAGGCCCGCAGTGCCGGCCATCGGCCATTGGCGTGGGCTGCAGCATTGGAAGAGGGCAGTGGGAGGTGGGATTTCAAGACAAGGGCCGAGGGCCAGAGGTCTGGGTGTGAGGGTTGTGGAGAGCAAGAGGAACCATGAGTGCAGGCGGAACGGGGTGGGTGCTCGCCTCACTGCACATAGCTGCTTGTCTTCCCAGTTCTGGGCTGCCTGTGTCAAAGGGTGTTTGTTGTTGTTGTTGTTTTACAAACCCCCTTTCCCACATTGAGTTGATTTTTAAATATCTTTGCACTACCTTCAGGAGCCCAAGGGGGTTTGAACACAGGCAGAAGGATTTGGTCAGAGGCCATAGTTCACCAACCTCTGAGTTGACTACGTGGCGGATACCTAGTTAGTCCTTTTCCAGCCTGACAGACCTCATCTCTCATTTGCAAAAGCACACGGTTAGAAGCAGGACAGAGTCCTGGTGGCACAATGGGCTACCGGTGAGCTGGGGAGAAGAGATCCAGTGATGTGCTCCCCTAAAGATTGTTCCCTTGTTGGGTGACAAAACATTGCCTGCTCCTCTATTGTCCTCAAAGAGCCCAGTAGTGCAGCTGCTGTCTCAATCCATCCCACTGAGGGTCTGGCCTTCCACTTTTTCTGTGACCTTCTACTTTACCAAGCACGCTGTTCTTCTCCGGGGACTGGTCTCTCCTGACAACATGTCCAAAGTAAGCAAGGCGGAGTCCTCATTTCTTAGCAACATTCTGGCTGTGCTTCCTCCACGGCCGGCCACAGTATATTCAGTATTCTTTCCTAACATGGATGTCTAATGTGTCCATTCTCCTGTCACTCATGAAGTTTGTATTAAAAGCTGTATAAGTGAGTTGGGTTTGTTTTAAAATAATGTAATCAGCAGCCTGTAGAAAATGTATTCATTCTCAAAAACCTTTCAAGCAAAGGTTGAAATTTAAAAACGAAAGTGAAAAATGTCAAGGCTGCCATTCCCTGTGGTGTTGCTCCTGGCACACCTGCTAAGAGAGCCCTTACTAATTTCCCGGCAACCCATCACTGTAATCAAGTGGGAAGCAGTCATTATCATCAACCGGTTAGAGAAGAAATTTCAACTAGCCACGGAGCATTCTTCTGGAAGCTATGTTTGGAAGACCTGGATAGGCAGCACGTGGCGTAAATAGTACTTATACCCTCTCAATCAGCTGATAGTGGTATAGTAGCTGCTATAGGCTTCCGTGGTTGTGGAAAGGCAAGGAAGGTGTTTTAGCTCTCAGCGATCAGGAAAGCTGTTTTCCTGATCCACGGAATAGAAGGTGCTCCATGCTCGAGTTTATGAGCTGTAGTTGCGGAATTATGTGCCCTTTTGTAACTACATGAAGCTATTCCATGCCGAGTTAATTTTCAGTGTGTGTGTGTTCAAGAAAGCTTTTGCTTATGCCTCATGTTTGAAACTGTAGCAACTGCTTATACAAAACCTTGAATGTTTTTGGTTTTTTTCCTTTCCTCCAGTCCTTCTCAGGGACACCAAAGCCTAGCTGTTGTCATTGTTCCAAAGCAATTAGTTAGCCCCACCAAGAAGTCTGGCCCTCTGTGTGCCACCACACATGAGCACACGGGCTTGTGAAGTCACCTCATCGAAACCCCTGGTCCAGGAGACACAGTGTGCTTATATGAGACATTTTGGTCCTCGGCACAGCCAGACCCTGCTTGGCTTGAGTTGGGCAATTAAGCCAGGGAGGACTCTGAGAGGGCTCAGTGGGAAGCCACAGCATTGATTAAAGGGATGGAAAGTTAGAGGATAGGGCCGAGTGAAGAGAACGTTCATTGGGTGCATCTGGTGGATGAAGGAACGATGGTCCTCCATCCTGGAGAAGATGCTTTCTTCCTTGCAGAAACGGATCTCCACAGCCAGGCCAGAGCAAGAGGAGAGTTGCTGGAGTTATAAGACAGCTTTTTAGGTGAGGGATGAAGGGACTTCTGCCCGGGAAGGGACGAGGTCACAGAGAACTAAGGTCTCAGGTGCTACCCAGATGTGGGAGGGTTTCTCTAAGCCTTACGGAACTAGAACTTGTCATAAAGTAACCTGCCTTTGTCTTCGACATCATCTTTGTCTTCTATCTCATCGTTCTTCCGACCACCACTGAGCTTGCTTCCATATTCAATACTGATTTCGTGGAAGCATTTTCTAACAGCGCGATGAGAAGGGTTGTTAGGTGCCATCCAGTTGACTCTGACCCATAGAGACCCCATGCACAACAGACCCAAACACTCCCGAAAATGTAATGATGATAAAATGGGGTTTCATAACGTCAGTGTTCTTGACACTGGGGGTCAGGTAATTCTTTGGGTGTGCATCTCAGGAGGGTTCTCCTGTGTATTGTAGGATGTTGAGCAGTATCTTTGTTTTCCACCCACTAGATGCCAGTAGCAACCTCCTTCCCCACATGCTGACAACCAACAGTGTGTTCACACATGACCAACTGTCCCCTGGGGGGCACAATCACCCCCAATCAAGAACGATTGCTCTACAGCCATGTTAATAGCTTCTCACATGCATGATTATTTCCCATCTTTTACAACAGCTTGGCCTATCAAAGTTTGTGAAATGCCTTTTTTGAGCACTTTATCAATGCCCTGCCCTCTGTTGGACATGGTGCATGGCACACTGCCAGAGTGTGGGAGGCCAAATTTAATAGCCCCTGTAGGTACTCATAGCATGTGCTTAGACACCCCTTTGCTCAGGAACTGTTGCCGTGGATCCTAGTTTCTCGTTTCTAGTTCTAAGAGAATATTTGACAGGCCTCCAACCTTCAAGCAGGTTTTCAAAACAGTTTATGTACTTACATTTTGAAACATCTAAAAGGGAAATTGTTTTGGTTAAAAGTATCCCTATGCACACAAGATTATGGAAATCGGAAGCAGAAAAGTACAAATCGTGCCCCATGATCTCAACCTCCAAGGGAAGGACAGTTAATATGCCAGTGGATTTCCTGCCTGTCTTTCCCATCTTTTCAAATGCACACGGCAGGCTCTGCTTCTTGGGGTTTGTGAGTCTCTTGTCTAGTGGGGCTGCGTCACCTTCTCATAGCGGGTTAACCCTTTTCTGAACATCCAGCCAACGTAGCAGACACTCTTGTTCATGGTTGCCGTCCAGTCACTTCGGAATTCTGGCCACCCCAAACACACAGAGTCAAACTGCCCCACCGGCTTTTCTAGGCTTTGATTTTTACTGGAACAGTTTTCCAGGCCTTTCTCCCAAAGCACCTTCTGGGTGGGTTAGAACTGCTAACCTTTTGACTAGTAGTCGAGTGTTTGCTTAACCATTTGTACCACCCAGGGCGGACTGTATGAACGCCAAGCTCCAAACTCACTGCCTTTGAGTTAATTCTGACTCAGCAACCATATAGGACTGAATAGAACGACTCCCTCTGTGTGTCTGTCGAGACTGTAAATCTTTCGGGAATAGACAACCTCCTCTTTCTCCTGAAGAGCTACCGGTGGTTTCAAACTACTGACTTTGTGGTTAGCAGCCCAACACGTAATCCACTAGGGTTCCAGTTCTAGCTCAGAGACTGGGAATACAGGATGATAGTCCACAGTCTCTGCCCTTCGTCAGTGGACCCCCACAGAGTCTTATTACAGGCATCGGGGCGAGTAAGAGTATATGGATTTTGTGGCTGTGAGAGCTTCAGACCCTATCAGTCGATTCAGTGGAAATGGAAACATGCTGTTGATTTTGACAAGCTGGTCGACAAGTCACTAAGTTATAGCTGGTTTTGTCAAACTCAATACCAAACTCAGTGCCGTAAGGTCTGTTCAGAACCATAGCCACCTTCTATCGGACAGAGTAACACTCTTTGGGGTTTCTGAGGTTTGCGGTCTCTGGGAGCAAACAGACTCATCTTTCTCCTGCAGAGAGAGGATGGTAGATTTGAACCACTGGCCTGGTGGTTAAGCCCAATACCTAACCCACAGTGCCACCAGGGCTCCTATGGCTCTGTGAGGGGATTGACAAATCCATGTGACTCAATCAAGCCCAATATTCAAGCTGATTGCTGAAATGGGTGGAATTCCTTCTCCTTGGGATTCATAGAGAATCAATTGGTTTAGGAAAATGAGCAAACAAATGTGTGTGGACTGTTGCCTCCAGGCCTTCAGGAAGGAAACATCTTGCTCTCAGAGAGAAGTGTGCAGTGGCTATCACGTAGCTTCTATCTTTGAAAAGAGTTTGGGCACCAGGGTCGTCAGTATCTGAGGTTGAATCATATCCCGTTTGCTGTAATGCATTTGAACCTGACCCACATCATATGCAGGCTTTGCCCAGCGGCTCCCCTGCTCCTCTTTTAAACAGAAACCCTTATTTAGACTCATCCTGACCCCACATGCCGACAGTCTTCCATCGCACGGCTCTCTTGTAAGAAACGGCCTTGGAAGAGGCAGTTAGGATTGCATTTGTGAAAGGACAATAGAGGTGAATCGTCGCCTTGGAGAAAGCGCAAAGATCTTCTAGAAGCCAAAATCCATTTGCAGGCAAGCACGGCGGTACAGTTGCCCTAACCTTTTCCCACGAACCGAAAGAAAGATGAAAATTCCGACCGAAGGAAAATCGCCTTGGAGAAATATCTTGAGACCGATGAATTTATTTCATGTGTGACTTAAAATAGCCTGGGTTCGTAGCACTGCATTAAGCTGTATTTCTAATGAGTTCCCGTTAGCCTACTTTTTCCTCAGCCTTCTTTCACATAGCCTTCTCTACAGACAGAAATAGGCTAATTGTTACCATAATGGTTTACTATCTTTTGTGAGAAATCTACGTAATGGCCCACTTTGAAGAGATGTGCTCAAAGGAGGAAAGTGGTGTTTCTAGGGCAGCTTGCTTGGTCCCCAGTAGCCCTTCTGGGCACTGGGCTGTGTTTCTCGGCTGTAAGACTGGTGTCTTGTTCCTCTGAGGATTCTTAGGTGCCATTTGCTGCAGCTAGGAGTTAGTTCCTTTGTGAAAACAACGCTTTAAGGTCATTGGGCAGCCAAGTGAGGTGTCTTGTCGTGTCAAACTTCAGGCCATGGTAAGGTAAGGGAGTCCTAGGGAAGAAAGCATGAACAGCCCTGGGTCATTTGGGTGCCCTGAAGTTCAGGATGGAAGCAGAGAATTCCCTCATGGGAGCCTGTAGCAGGGAATGATCCGGCCTCATCTGGGGAAGCCTGGCACAGCTCTAGCTTCAGATATATGCAAATTTCCCACAGGCTTGGCTGAAGCCCCTCAATAAGGATATGCGGTTTGCTCTCCAAACCCCTTTTCTTGTGGGATTCTAGAACACTGGGAGAAGGGGGACAGGCATGCTTATGTGTGGGTACAGGTGGGGGCTGTCGCTTGGAAAGGGATTGTCATGTGCTTATTTGTTCTGTCGCCCCCCAATGCAGAGAATGCCAGACAGAGGCAGGAGGGCATCGTGAGCAATTCCATCATGTACTTCACCGAAGATCCCCCTGAGCTGCCAGCCAACAGCCCCCACCCTCTGAAGCTGCGGCGCATCCTGAACCTCAGTCCCTTCACGGTCACGGACCACACCCCCATGGAAACGGTAGTGGACATCTTCCGGAAACTGGGGCTCCGGCAGTGCCTGGTGACCAGGAGTGGGTGAGTGATGGTCAGCCAGGCACTGATGGGATGTGGGGCCAAGATGTCTTTGACAGATGGTGGCATTAGGTTGTGGAGGGAGCACTGAAAAGGAAGTAGCCAGCCAGCCAGCTTTGGGATGGCAGAACAGAGGGCCCTGTGCGGCTCTGGAACCAGGAGAGGCATTGAATCAAAACAGGGAACAATCAGAGAAGGGGTTGAGTACCTTTCTCTCACTACCTGGGACTGGGCTTGGGGAGAAGGGACAGTCACTTGATTATGCTCCTCAATTCAAAAACAAAAATTCAAAATCCAAACCCTTGCCACTGAGCCAAGTCCAGCTTTTAGTGACCCTATAGGGCAGGGAGGAACTGCTTCATTACGAGGCTGTCATGTTTATGGAAGCAAATTAGCTCACCTGTCCCCCGAGGAGCAGCTGGTAGGTTTGAACCACTGACCTTTCAGCCAACCAATGAACTCCTACATTCCTTCCAGGGAGCTCAGTGGGTCTTGAACTTGAGGGGGCTCCTCAGAATTCCCTGACCACTTGGCAAGTGCAGATTGATGTGCTCCAATCCAGAGGTCCAGAACCCAAGGTCTGAATGGGGATTTGCACTGAGATTTTGCTTTGGAAACAATTTCTCCAGGGGTGCTGATGACACCAGTCTGGGGACTCCACTCGGAGGATCCCTGAAGTCAGTACCGTCCTTATGTTTCCAGCCCTGGGAATGCAGAGCACTGTGCTGCTGTGTCGCCCCAGGGTGCAGTGGTTTCGCTGCCTTTACAAATCGTAACCCCACGTCTGTTATCACTGGCGTTTCCAATGCCCGCTCGCTCGCACCTCCAGGATCCCAGGAGGCTTTCCCGTGAAGAGCTGGGTGCCAAAATCAGCTCTGAATGTTTGTCGAGCCAACAAAATCACACTCTCTCTCGCTCTCATTCTTTAAACAAACACAGATGCCTACAGGCTGGTGCTGGCAGGGCTCCTTGTCAGCGTCCCTTTCATCTTGGCTTTCAGCCAGGCCAGGCCCCAGCAGGCCTCTGGTTTTTTTGTTTGTTTGTTTGTTTGTTTGTTTTTAAATCATTTTATTGGGGGCTCATGCAGCCCTTATCACAATCCATCCATCCATCCATCCATCCATTGTGTCAAGCACATTTGTACATTTGTTGCCACCATCAATTTCAGAACATATTCTTTCTACTTGAGCCCTTGGTATCAGCTCCTCATTTTTCCCCTCTCTCCCGCACCCCCTCCCTCCCTCATCCTTGATAATTTATAAATTATTATCATTTTTTTCATGTCTTACACTGAACAGTGTCTTCCTTCACCCACTTTTCTGTTGTCCGCCTCCCAGGGAGGGGTCATATGTAGATCATTGTGATTGGTTCCCCCTTTTTCTGCCCCCACATTCCACATTCCCCTCTGATATTGCTACTCTCATTATTGGTCATCTGGGGGAAAGGAAGTGGGTGTTAGCAAACCCAGGGACAAGGGAATAACAAGTGATCTGAAATCGATGGCGAGGAGGGTGTAGGATGCCTGGTATGGCTTGATCAAAGGCAATGTACCTGAGGGGAATTACTGAAACCCAAATGAAGACCAAAGATGATAGTGGGATAAGAAAGTAAAAGGAAATAGAGGAAAGAACTAGGAGGCAAACGGCATTTATAGAGGTCTAAATACAGGCATGGACATATGCAACTATATTTGTCAAATATAATGATATGGAAATACATCCATGTACATATATTTATATGTTAAGTATAAAGGTAGCCAACGAACATTGGGCCTCCTACTCAAGTACTCCTTCAACACAAGAACACCTTGTTCTAATAACCTGTCATTCTGTGATGCTCATCTTCCTGACACGATTGCTGAAGACAAAATGGGTGCATAAACAAATGTAGTGAAGAAAGCTGATAAAAAGATACAGCATCTGGGGTCTTAAAGGCTTGAAGTAAACAAGCAGCCATCTAGCTGAGAAGCAACAAAGCCCACGTGGAAGAAGCACACCAGCCTGTGTGATCATGAGGTTGGGATCAGGTATCAGGCATCAAAGACCCAAAATAAAAAATCATATCAATGTGAATGAGGGATAGTGCAGAGTGGAGGCCCAAAGCCCATCTGTAGACAATTGGACATCCCCTCACAGAAGGGTCACAAGGAAGAAACAAGCCAGTCAGCGTGCAGTATGGCACCGATGAAACATACAAGTTTTCTCTAGTTCCTTAATGCTTCCTCCCCCCACTAGCATGATCCCACTTCTACCTTACAAATCTGGCTAGACCAGAGCATGTACACTGGTACAGATAAGAACTCACAACACTGGGTATCCCGGAGAGATAAACCCCTTAGGACCAACAATGAGAGTAGGCTTCTGTTTTTTTAAGTGTCCCCTCTCTCCGTGGATGGTCTCTGAGGACCTGGGCTGGCTGGGCTACAGGGCTCTGGAAGTCCATGACTATTGGGAGGGAACTCACACCAGGAACCCAGAGAAGTTTTTGCTCCCAGACATTGTCCATGGCTAAGGGAATTGCGTGAAATTGCCCCAACAGCTGTTCTAGAAAGGAACAGTGAATGTGGGTCCCTGGGCTGTGGACTGAGCAGCTGGCTCAGAAGAGCCCAGGTGCTCAAATCTAAACTATGTCCTTGGTCATAGATTTGGCCCTTAAGAATTCACTGGATATGCTTGACCCGCCACCCAAGGGGACCGAAGTTCAAAAATTTGATTTAAATCAAATAGAACATTTTATGCCACTAATGAACCCTGCTGGATTTGAGGTCATCTCCTTCTGGGGGAAGTTCAGCTTTCATTTGTGATAATTACCATGGGAGGCCCAGGCACACTTTATGCAGGAGCTGGTGGCAGCTCCTGAATTCCCATTTCCCTATGCGGTTTGGGAGCCTGGAGAGGAATGGCCAATGGCTATGATCTTGTGTTATGCTCTCCAAGGCATTGTCGGGAGACATGTTTGCCCGCTTGTTTGTTTAGCAATTTTTTTATTGCAAATTAGGTGGGGATTTAAGTTTCCGATCATCAAAAATTATTCAACAGTTGAAACGACTAATTAACCTCCCACCCCAATAGTCTACCCTTCATAGCGCCTTGATTTTTCGTCTCCCTCTTCTGGACCACTCTCTTCCATTTCACCCAAGTTAGCATCCATCCACTGTCAAGCACATTGCATCATCTTCTCTCCCTTGCTCATCCCCCACCTCACCCATGGCAATCGCCCAAGTGTGTTCCCTTTGGCATGAAAGTCTTTCTTTTGCCTCTCTCCCTCACTCCCGGCCCCCTTATAGCAGCAGTCTCATGTAGTGTTTATTCTTTTGTGATTAGCTAATTTCTCTCAGCAGCATGTACTCCAGGTCCACCCAAATCATGAAGAGCTTGAGGTTTCAGCATTGGTTCTTAGCGATGTATAATGTTCTCATTGCAGAGTTCTTCATCCATTCTCCTGCTGATAGGCGATGGGTTGTTCCTATGGGGACATTTGTGGTGCTCACATCTCCAAGGGTGCTACTGGAATCTGGTGAGGGGGAGACTGAGGATGCTGCTCCACACCTCATGGTGTGCAGGTCAGCCCCCACTGACCCAAAATATCACTAGTCGCTGGGGTTGAGCAGCCCTGCAGCAAAACCTCTTGGGAATGGTTGGACGGAGGGGATCCTGCTAGAGGAGGTTGGGGCTCATTGGGCTGCCACTGCATTGGAGAGGGACTCATTGGGGGGGGTGTCCCAAGGGTACTTAAATAGTGTACCCTCTTTGTGGTGAAGTGCCTCTCATGATACCATTGCTCCATTTGCATTAGCTTGAATCATAGGAGCTAAAACAAAACTCACCAGACCCTTGTTTCCTTACTTTGGCCTTTAAGGCTCCAACGTGCCTTAGATTCAGAGGCCTTAGCTGTGTCTATTGGAGTAAAACTGTGTCCCATAGGGTTTGTATGGCTGATTTTTTTTGGGGGGGGAAGGGACAGGGGGAGTAGATCAACAGGCCTTTCATATAAGACGCTTCTGAGTAGACTCCAATCTCTACCATCCTCTCGGTTAGCATTGGCAGGTGAGCACATAACAATGTGCATTACCCGGGCACTTCTGGAACTGTGGTAGCAGGGCTATTTGGCAAGGAATTGGGTACTGACACCCTTGAGGAGTTTTTACTTCAGTTGAATATATACAGAGGCCCTTGACCATGACAATCTGCTCCTAAACAAAAGAAAGCAAATCCGGAAGGAAAAAGGCTAGGACCTGTCAACTAGACTGAGCAATATTCCCTTGCCAGGAGACCAGAGCCCTTCAGTCCAGTGCATGCTCACAGGGGCTTTCACAGGCAAACCAAGAGTTTTTGAAGTCACAGAACAGTGAAAGAGATTGTGTCTTTAGGTGTATCTCATTTCAACATTTTAACACACACTTTTGGAACAAGCTACATGTATGTCATTTAGCTCTATAGTGCTGTCTTAGGATACATTGTAGACTGTCACACAGTGTAGAACAAGATAAGCCTTCTCTTCAACTGCTGTAGACCAAGCAAGTTGAACTCAGCCTCAGTTGGGTAGCAACATCTTATTTGACGTGTTCCTGTACATTCAGTTTTTACTGTAGTTTGATAAATTTTAGAAAATCATTTAAAGTGACACACAACTGTGGTTAAAGTCAAGCAACCCTAAAGCTCAGCAACCCCTGATTGTCTCCACCCATCACATTTTCACCCCACGTTTGTGTGGTAGTGTCCCAAGTTGAGCCAGTGGTTGATGAACACTCAGCTCTGCCTTTACTTAGAGTCGCCTGTCACTGGTTTTCTACACTGGTTTTCACCCCAAATCTGCAGATGTCGCAATCATGGCCCTCTAAATATAGCCGTGTGCGTCTTCTTTGACTTATCCTTCATTGCCATCCAGCCCGCTTGCACTCATGGTGACCTTGCCTGCTCTTGGGCCCTTCCCCCATTTGCTGCTCTGCTGGAGTCCATTGCTGGGGCTGTGGTGGCAGTCGACCTCATTAAGGGTTTCCCTCA